AAAAAAGAAAACTGTTCTAGAGGCTAAGTCTTGAGCTGACTCCTAGAGTGAGGCTGTGCTCAGTTTCACTCAGAACTGAGTCACCCAGGGAAACACACCTCCCAGTTTTCACGGCATCGTACTGTGTGGGCCAGGATGGCCATGGACCTGTGATCCTCCTGCCCCTGCCTCCTGAGTGCTGGGACCACAGACACTTCTCCCCATGCCTGTGGCTTTGAGTCAGTTTCCTCCTCTGTGTAGCGAGGTCCACGGTAGGGCTGCCCTCACAGTCACGGGGAGACGAGGTGAGAGCGCCCATGAATTGGCCTGTGCAGTGCCTGGCCAAGAATGTGGTTTAACCCACAGCCAAACATTAGGAGGAGAGAACCAAAACTGGAGGTCTCCATTGGAGCCCGCCCCTTGGAGCTCAGGGAACCCTGCAGGAAAGGAGGAGGAAGGATTGTAGGAGCCAGAGGGTCGAGGACACCATGGGAACATGGTCCACAGAGTCAACTAAGCAGCGCTCATAGGGGCTCACAGAGACTGGACCGGCAATCACAGAGCCTGCATGGGTTTGTGCTAGGTCCTCTTTATGTATGTTATGGTTGTTAGTTTGCTTTTTTTTTTTTTTAAATAATGGGACTCCTAACAATAGGAGTGGGAGGTGTCTCTGACTCTTGCCTGCTCGTGGGACCCTTTTCCTCCTACTGAGGCGCCATGTCCAGCCTTGATGTGAGGGTTTGTGCCTAGTCTTACTGTATCTTGTTATGTCCACCTGATATCCCTGGGAGGCCTGCTCTTTTCTGAAGGGAAATGGAGGAGTGGATCTGGGGGAGAGTGTGTGTGTGTGGTTGGGGTACTAGGAGGAGTGCAGGGAGGGGAACTGTGGTCAGGATGCATTGTATGAAAGAATAATAATAAAAAAAAAAGAATGTGATCTGAGTCAGTAGATCATTATAACTGGTATTTATAATCCCTGAGAATCACGGAGTGAGCAAGTATCAAGAATTTTAACATAAGAGTACCACGAGATACATTTGGTAAACTGAGGGTTGGAGATGTAGCTCAGTTGGCAGACTGCTTGGCTAGCATGCCACGAAGCTCTGGGTTTGATCCCCAGCATGACATAAAATCAAGCATGATGGTATATGCTATCCAGTACTTGGGAGGTGGAGGCAGGAGGATAAGAAATTTAAGATCATCTTTGGCTCTATAGTGAGTTCAGGGCCAGCCTGGGCTAATGTGTTCCTATCTGAGAAGAAAGAAGATTATTTTCAGGAAGGATAGAATAGGGGAAAACATACTTTGATTTTTCTGGGAACCTCCAGGGAGGCTTCCTGTAGGAGGCAGCTTTTGGATTCATCCCTCTGTTTGGAGGGGTTTGTGGGGGGATGTTGCCAGGAAAGGGACCTTTAGGTAGAGGGAGCTGCAAGGACAAAGCCTGGAGGTGGGCTCCGTGGGACTTCAGGGCAGGTTCCAGCCTCAGGGGTTTGGGGTTTCCTGAGGATAGAACAGGGATTTTTCTTATTCTTTTCATTTTTTGACTGAGTGTTCTGTGGTTGATTGTAGGGCCCTTCTTCTGGCTGCTGTTCAAGACTCCCCAGCTGGCGGCGCAGCCCAGCACATACTTGGCGGTGGCAGAGGAACTGGAGAGTGTTTCTGGGAAGTACTTTGATGGACTCAGGGAGAAGGCTCCATCTCCCGAGGCAGAAGATGAGGAAGTAGCCCGGAGGCTTTGGGCTGAAAGTGCCCACTTGGTGGGCTTGGACATGGCTCGTGGGTCCGTTGGGAGGGGACATTCCCTCCCCAGATAACCTTCAAATATCCAGATGGAGTTTCATCACAACTGCTGGCCGCCATGCCCTCATCATCCTCTAGGGGCAGCGTTGGCACGGTTAGACTCTCAAGACCATGACTGCTGGCTGCCATGCCCTCATCATCCTCTAGGGGCAGTGTTGGCACTGTCAGACTCTCAAGACCATGACTGCTGGCTGCCATGCCCTCATCATCCTCTAGGGGCAGTGTTGGCACTGTCAGACTCTCAAGACCATGACTGCTGGCCGCCATGCCCTCATCATCCTCTAGGGGCAGTGTTGGCACGGTTAGACTCTCAAGACCATGACTGCTGGCCATCTGGCTGCCATGCTCCCATCTTCCTGTAGGTGGCAGTGTTGGCCCTAGCGTTTATTGTTAGCCGGCCACATTCAGTTGGACCACAGCTGAGCACTGGGGAGGAGGACAGGTACAATGTACTCTATTGGTTACTGGGGAGCTGGTCTATGAGGGGTCTCCCTTGGGAATGGCTTTGGGCAGTGTCCATAGACAGCGGTAGCTGTGGTGGTGGACGGATGGGTCTACTGTTAAAGATCGGGAAATCAGACAGATACGGCCAGTCATAGCTCTTTGAGGGCCTTTGCAAACTTCTCATTCCTCTCCGAGACTTGGCTGTTGTTTCAGGAAAGCAACTGGGGGGAGGAAAAGGGCTTATTTTGGCTTAGAGGTTATTGTCCATCATGGAGGAGGGAAGCCGAGGCAGGAACTCAAGGCACGAGCTTGAAGCAGATACCAGTGGAGGTTTGCTCCCAGGCCTACGTTCAGATACCTTTCTTTTATTTTTATTATTATCTTTTTACAGAGAGGTTCTTACTCTGTAACTCTGGCTTTCCTGGAACTTGCTATGTTTCAGTTCAAAACCAGGCTGGCCTTGAATTCACAGAGCTCTGCCTGCTGGGATTAAAGACATGTGTCACCATGCTTGGGCCAGGTGCCAGCCGGTAGCCCTGGGCTGGCACCACCCACAGTGGGCTTGTCTCTTCTACATCAGTTAGCAATCCAGACATTCCCCCAGGGCAACCTGGTCCAAGCAGTTCTCCAGTCGAGGATCCGACCCCCTTCTAGGTGTGCCAAGTTGGTAACCGAACAAACCAGGACAGCTCTCGATTGCAGACTGCAAAGGATAACTGCTACCTCACGGGATGGTGTGGGCATTAAGCTCTTGCCTGGCTCAGTAAAGGGCCACCAGGGTCCTCTTGTGTCCTGGGCCCTGGCTGAGGTGCTGGGGTTCTGTGGAGAACCTGGCGTAGGCCTTGCTTTTGTTAGCTCTGAATTGCTCAGGATGGAATGGAGTGAAATGCTGCTGGCTGCTGCCGCTGAAGACCAGCGTGACCTGGGATCATGATCTCTCCAGTACCTCAGACTCTCACGCTTGTTGTTTGATTATAATAACTTGTTGAGTGTAGTGGCACAGATCCCTAACACCAGCACAGAAGAGGTGGAGGGTCTTGAGTTCAAGGTCATCCTCCACCGGCCTGGGCTGTACAAGGTCCGGTGAAAACAAGTCAAGATAATGACATCTCCAAATGTAGCTGAGTCATAGATTTAAATAAAAACAAACCTTTACTTAGTGTGTATGTGTGTGCATGTGCTCAGGTGTGCCTTTGTGTGTCTGCCTTCCATGATGGAGTTCAGAGGACAGCTTGTGGGAATCTGCTCGAGTCTTGTGAGTCCTGGGGATCCAACTCAGTTTGTCAGGCTTGGTGACAAGGACTTTTTCCTTCTGAACCATATTGCCATATGACCCTGAACCTGAGCCATAGGTTTTATTTTATCTGTTGTATGTGGAATTTATTCCACATGCAAGTTGTGTATTTATTCCTTTTAAGAATCTAAGACATTCACTTGTCACCAAGGCAGTGGGGCAAGCAGCTTCAGACTTTGTAGGGATGGAGGCACAGCTCACCCCATGGCAGCGATCTCAGAGGTCGGGGAGTCCTAGGAAATGTTCACTTCAGAAATGTGACACTCAGCGGGGACAGAATCGATGGCGCCTCAGAAAGCTCAGTAGAGAGCCAGGCAGTGGTGGCGAACACCTTTAATCCCAGCACTTGGGAGGCAGAGGCAGGCGGAGCTCTGAGTTCAAGGCCAGCCTGGTCTACAGAACTAGTTCCAGGACAGCCAAGACTACACAAAAAAGCCTGTCTCAGAACGCCTCCCACCCCCCAAGCTCAGTAGACCCCTGGGTACTTACTGGCCTAGAATTGTCACTGCAGAGCCCAGCCA